CCGAGAGGCCTCCACCGCCCCTCACTCCTAGAATTTTCTGGATTTAAACCTCCCCCACGGATGCTTCCCAGACAGCGATGTGGCCACAGGGGCCAGACGCGCGGTTTTGGACTCAGCTGCCCAGCTTTACGGGCCTTGGCTTCCCTCTTGTGAAGAGTTTGGATCTGGCCTCTGTGATCATCTTCTGGCATTTTGGAAATCATGAATCTCCTGCCCAGAAAGGGAAGCAGATCAGATTCCCTTGTCTGCACTGTTGTGTTACAGGGATGCTTTCTCTCTGGGTGTCACCCTGATTTCCCCTCAGCTGCTGCAGCCGGCTGCCCCTGGGGCACGGCTTGGGAAAGTGAATTAGCCCATCCCAGCACTTTGTTGGGGGACATTGTCCTGCATTTTTTTCACCAGAAACACCGCATTAGGCCAGGGATCTGAACTCTTCCCTGGGTTCTGGTTTTTACAAAATGTGTGTGTGACCCTCCAGCCACCTTCTGTCCTCGCCTCAGTCCGCGAGCTCCTCGGGGGCAAGCAGACAAGCACATCCTCCCTCCCTAGAGCTTCTGGACCCAACACCACTGCCAGACTGGCAGGTGCTCAGCCCGCGCTGGACGAATGAATAAGCGGGCCACACTTACACTTTCCCTCCATCCTGCCCGTGGCCCAGCTCTAGCTTCACAACACCAAGGACCTGAGAGTCTCTCACCAATATTCCAGGGCCATCCTGAAGAATGTCCATTTTACAGATGAGAGCACGAAGACTCAGAAACAGGTCTTCTGCATCACTCAGCTGATGGGGAAGGAGAGAAGGCTGAAAACACAGGCCTGGCTCTGGAGGACCAATCTGGTGAGAGGACATCAGGGGCTACCCGAGACAGGCGGGGAGCATGGCGCCCCTGCCTGAAACCCGGGGGGCCCGATCTGGAAGAAACGGGCAGAAGAGCTGCTCGCTTAGCCTCTTGCTTCCAGTGGGTCGATGGTTGGAGGCAGGGCCCAGCAAACAGCTCCAGGGTGGGGGGCCCCGGACAGAAGAGAGCCAAGAGGAGAGCAAGGGCTTGGGGGCAGGGGAGGGGTGATGGCTCTGGAACCATCGCAGGTGGGAGATGGAGGATGAGCAGGGAAACTGAGGCCAAAGCCCCCCTGAGGGGCCGTGGGGGTGAAGGGGAAGGCTGTGTGTTGAGTCAGGGCTGGGAGGGCAGCAAAGGCTGAACCCCTCACACCAAGTGTGTGGTGGCTGGTGGATTTGAGGCTCCACTGGCTGGTTGGGGGCAAGGGGCTGCCACGGCTCCCTGAGGTAGAGGACGCGTCCTTCCCCTGGCAGGCATGGATGTGACGGCTGAGGGCTTCCACACCAGCAGGATGGGGAGGGTGGCATCTACATTGAAAGTGCATACGTGTGCATGCATGTGTGTGTGGGCATGTGCGTGTGTGTGCGTCGGGGTGTTTCCACAATAGTTAACAGCTAATTTGTATCAAGTGCTCACGAGGTGCCAGGCCTCGCTCTGACAATGCCTTGGAGGGAGGAGCTACCTTCCCCATTGTGTGGGTAAGGACATAAGGCACAGGGACAGAAAGTAACTTCCCCGGGGGGAGGGGTAGCTGGCTTCCAGGGGGGCCCCCTGAGATCCCCGCCCCCTGGCGTTCACCGCCTGGTGTGTGTAGTCACTGGGAGCTGTAGCGGGGCTGGTGTTTGCCCAGTAGCCTGTGGGGGAAGTGACGCTATGTTACTTCTGGGATTCGGGTATAAAAGCCTGTGGCTGTCTTCTGTGTTCTCTCTCTCGTGGACTCTCCCTCTCGGACCACTTGCCCTGGGGAAGCCAGCCGCCAGGTTGTGAGGACACTGAGGCAGCGTGTGGAGAGGCCGGCGTGGCGAGGCCCGTGGGGACCCCTGGTCCACCACCCGCGAGCAGCTCTCTGAGTGGCTCCTGCAGCCCCAGCAGGGGGTTTGCAATCCCATGAGAAACTCTGAGCCAGAATGTGTCCCAGACTCCTGACCCTCAGAAAACATAGGACATCGTAAATGTTTGCTCTTTTAAATCTCTAAAGTCTGGGCTAGTTCGTTCTACAGGAATTGATAACCAAGACACCAGGGTATCCACTCTGGTTAGTACCGATCGGACTCCAGAGGCCGCACTCTGACGCGCTGGGCTGCGGTCTTGCCATGAGCCTGAACGAGGAACGTTTTGGAGGAAGGGCATCTTGGGTCAAGGGCAGAGCAATGAGAATGAGCCGTGTGGGGCAGGCTGCCTGGGAAGTGCCGACGCGCACGTTTCGGTGTGCGTACAGGCAGTCAGGTGGGACACGGGCCATGGGGAGAGAGGTCAGAGCTCGGCGTTCAGTGAAGGGTCTGCAGTGAATGCAAACCCTAGAAGTCACTACTGAGCAGGGACACGGAGGAGGGGCTGTGGGGGGCTTCACACAAAAGCCCCTTTTTCTCAGAGCTTCCGGTGGGTCAATGCAGCAGCACCTTGGCCCAGGGCGCTCTGCAGAAAATCCTCAGATGTACCAGAGAAAGGAGGTATTTTGGCGTGTCAGCAACCATCATGTGGACAACTCCATGAAGGTATCACTTTAAAAAGCTAGCTTCAGGATCTCATATAAATGTGTTGAAAAAGCCATCCGCTATTATTTTTAAGACCATAGGAAGTCGCTGGGATCCTTTACAAGCAAACACTAGAACGGTTATTTCAGCCTGCCATGCCTGGAGAGCTGCTGGGAGCAGGAGAGAAGACATCGAGGGACCCCAGCTGTCTGAGACGGACCAAAAGGAACTCAGCTGGAGAGACGTCAAGTCGCGTTTCACATCTAAAGGCTTGCTTTGTTCAGTTGTGCTCCTGTGCTGAGCGACTCGCTCTTAGGCTTTTCCCCACCCCCGAGGTGTGACCCGTGGGGACGCCCGAAGAGCCCTGGCCAGGTCGGACCCTGGGCCGAGCTGGGAAAAGTTCCCTAAGAGGAAGTCTGTCCCGGGGCCGGACCCCCCAGAGCAAGGAGACCTGTGCCCAAGGAGCCCATGGTGGCCCCCACTCCCCACCCCGCTCTCGAGGCGCCCAGCCTCCCCTGCGGACCGCTCCCCTGCATCTCTCCCCACCTCCCACCTCCTCATCTCAACCACAGGCCCTCTCCAGCAACTCCTTACAGAAGCTCCTTGAAGGAGCTGATGATACTCATTCTCGAATCTGCTCCATGCTCTCACTCTGCGAAGTCATCCGTGGTCACAAAGGCCTCTGTGAGTCTGTCCATACCGTCAGTCCCTAATGTATCCCCTGTTCCTTCCACGTCTTCCCGTCACAGGGAGGGGATTTATTTTCTCAGTGGCCCTACGCCAGATTCTCTGCACCGTCCAGTGCCACCGTCCTGCGCTCCACATCAGCCTATGGACAGGCTTAGCGGCTCTACTTTGTAGGCACGTCTGGAGCTTGGCCAGTCCTCAACGCTTGCACGGCTGCCCGAGGGCCAGGCTAGCATTCCCTCTTCCCTCCACTGCAGCGGCCCCACGACAGCCTATTCTCAACGGGGCTGCCAAAGCGACTCTTAGAATACACGCTGGGCCATGCCAATCTTCTGCACAAACCCCTCCCACACAAAGGTCCCTTTTAAGTAAAGCTCAAAAGTGGCCGTACGTGCCCCCGTCCCCCCACCACCCTGATTTCACTGTAGTCTTCTTTGCCCCTTGCTCGTTCCATCGCTTCGACACCGGCGCCCTTGCGGCTCCTCAAGCTGCCAAGCATGTTCCCACTTCAGCATCTTTGCACTTGCTGGGGTCTTGATGTGGCTCATTTCCTTCCTTTTCTGGGTCCCTGCTAACCTGTGACCTTGTTAGTCTTCTGCCACACAGATTCAAGTCTAACCCCCGCCTCCCGTGGCGATGCTCTCAAGTTCCTCAACAGCACTCTCACCACCTGGCCTTCTCCGGGTTTGTAGCCCATGGCCTGTCCCCTCCCACTGGAAAGTAAGCTCCCCGAGGACGGGCTCGCTGATCTGCCCACTCTAACATGTAGGGCAGTGCCCAGCACAGAAGAGATTCTTGACAAGTATGCGTTTAATGAACTAAGTAACAGAGGCAGTACAGTAAGAGGCCGAATTTATGGCAGGAAGGGTGGGAGCGAGAAGGGACAGATGGGAGAGGAGTTGGGAGAGTTCGAGTCCCTGGGATTCTATTTGTAGGTTTATGACTAGTGTCCCTGACTCGGTGGGTGGAAAGGTTGCAAGCAACAAGGGAGCTCAAATTTTTTTTCCATTTGTAACAATCTGGCTTATGTTCTAAAGTTCTCGGTTGTTCAATCAATTTCAAACAAAAGGGTCCCTTGGGGCGCCTGGGTGGCTCAGTCAGTTAAGCATCTGCCTTCGGCTCAGGTCATGATCCCAGGGTCCTGGGCTCCTTGCTCAGCGGGGGAGCCTGCTTCTCCCTCTCCTCCCCACTCGTGCTCGCTCTTCTCGCTCATGCTCTCTGTCGCTATCTTTGTCTCTCTCTCTCTCTCAAATAAATAAAAAACCCTTAAACAAACAAAAGGGTCCCTGGAGCTGACTGTCACTGGGCACCGCCTTCCCGAGCGTGCGCTGAGGGGCGCTCACAGCCGCAGGGCCGTGGTGCCCACCTGCTGCCGCCCGCGGCGTGTGCCGCACCCTCTCCAACACTGGGCTGTCTGTCCTTGCACTTCTGAGATGCCCAACTGTGTATGTGACAAATGCAAAGGCATGACTGCGGGACTGGAGAATGTTTTTCGGATGCATCATGAGAGGATATGGAAAAGCAAGCTTATTAGAAGTTATTCTGTGGTTAACACGATGCTTCTAACGTGGTACGCTGTCAAAGTGAATGCCTTAGAGGAAATGTGTCTTTGAGGTAGGAGAGTGACAATTTAACAATGCACAAGACTGTTCCTGAAATTCCAAGACTAGGAAACATGTTGTGTGAGTTTCTAGCAGAAGGAATAAAACATTCTCCTGGGGCATATTGAATTAAAATCACAATGCACCAGTAAATGAAGAAAAGAGAACGAACAGAATAATACTGTCCACGGGGATTATGACCTTTATGTTCCATAACAAATTACAGAGAGGCATGAAAATCAGCTTTCTTTTCTGGCAGTACCACTCTGCTTCCTGCAGAAGCCTTCGTGATTAACCTTTTATGTGACAGAATACTTTTGGTGGGACACGTCCATATTTATTGGTCCATAACTGAGACAGATAAATCATTTTCAAATCTGGACTATGTATGGAATCCGGACTTCTTGCAGTGAGTTGAAGCCATAGATGGTTCTCAAGTGTGCAAAATTTAGAGCTTGCTGAAATAACAAGACTTTGTTTTTCTAGGTTTATAGCAAAGTGCAGGAGGTTGAAATGGGCAGTCTTTATTAAGTATCACACAAATCATTTGTTTGTTGTTGTTAGGAGACCACAAAATAAGATTGATTTTCTTTCCTTTTTTTAAACAGGCTTTCCAAATTCAAAAGCGTACCATTTTATAAAACATTTCACAGGACATAAAATTGTGGAAAGAAATTCAGATGATTTTCAAGCTCCCAAGTGAATTCATTTACTGACTAGGCACGTTGGTGAGTTGACGATTCGTAAGCAGTCCGTAATTCGAAGGAAAGCCCCTGAAAGAGAGGAAAATCAAATATATTTGTTATACATCAAGAAACTAATAATTATTTATGCTCTGTTGCGGATGGCAGGATTTAGGCAGAGGAAGGAAGGAAGCAGAAACTTAACAGAAATAAGGTTATTATGGAAAACAAGGCAAAAGAGAATTATAGAAATTTAAGGACATAAAATATTTGTGTTCAGTAAGGTAGATGAATGGTTAATTAGTAGAGGAGGATCAAAATACTCTCCATTACAACCTTTATGGGTAGGATTTCAGAATGGCCTTGTTTGACATGGAACCTCTAATATCAAAATGTGAAACGGGTCCCTATGGGTACACACCGGACAGTCCTTGACTTCCTGTCATCTGAGAACCAACTCTCAGATATATTTACAAGTTTTTATTAACTAACACCAAAGCATATATTTTGATGTGCTACACAGAACACAACTGTTATTTCAAAAACCCAGTGGTAATCAAGAGGGAAGAAAAGCAAACCCAATCACAATGGAGAAGTGGCCGTCACTATGCTTACTCCTCATGGCTCCGGTCACATGCGCCCGGCCCCAGGAGACCCGTCAACACCACACCGTTTGGTCACGGTGCCCTATGACCTAGCCCTTCCTAGCTCCCCAGCACCCCCCATCCTCTCCGAGCACGGGCCCCTGCTCACGTCCCCCCACATGGCGCAGCTTCCCGCCCTGGGCAGCACCGCCTCGCTCACCCGCACCAGCCTGTCAACACCCGCCATTCTCTGTGAAACCTTTTCCTTCCCCCACCCCCAGCCCCAGAGTTCACCCCCTTTCCCTCTGGCTGCACCACCTCTGCCTTCACTTAGCCCCTGATCGCTGCACACGGCCCGAGACAGGGAGCCACGTGGCAGCACCTGCATGTGCTTTGGGGGCCTGGGCCCCATCGACACAACCTGAACCGGAAAGGCTAATACCGGAAAAGGTAAACATCGAATGTAGTAAATCTAATAATTGGGGTATTGTTTAGTTAATCGGTGAGTACTTCCTCAACAGCTTGATGACTGTTCCGGTGCGGACTCATTCCGGACCCTGAGGGACACTGGCCGGCAGCTCCAAACCAGGCGTCTGCCAATCGAGAGCCAGCAGCCGGTACTCTGAGTGAACAGAAGAAAGGGTTCTTCTGGCAACAGAAGAGAGGTGAGATCTCGAAGCACGGGCAGGATCTGGGAAAGCAGAGAACAGGAAAAGCTGGGCGAGGGCGCCCCCGGAGCAAACCCGCTCAGGGTTCCAGGACCTGCAACTGTCAGCTGTCCCTGTCGCCTAAGACACGCCCCGGCAGCTGCTCTGACGGGGGCCGGCGCCCCCGCACGCCTCGCTCCTCCGCACCAGGACCTGCCCCACCCCGTGCCATGCCACGCACCCACTTGGAGTAGAAGAGTGTTCTGTGTGGAGCAGGTGCCAACCGCTGACGGTAAGGAATGCATGTGGCACGCAGGGTTCAAGTTTCTCAGAAAAGCGTATCACAGGAACGGTACGGTAATATTCATAAAACACGGAAAGGCTCAATGAACCTACTTCAGAAATTTGGTAAGATGTATACAAACGTGTACAATAACAGAGATGTAGGGCTATGCTTTCTAGCACTCTTATTCATGGGTATAAAATGCTGGAAGTGAACTACATGTCCGTCAATACTTGTTTAAATTATAAATCATGTAACTATTATTCAGCCAATAAAAAGAAAAAGGTAGCTTTAGTGTATAAAATGATAGAAAATGAAGTCTAAGATGTACTCTAAAGTGAAACAAGGGGGTAGAAAACAGTGTACTGTTTTGTATGTAAAAAGGAAACACGTGCTTTTGCCTATGCACAGACTATCTTGGGAAAAATATACAAAAAAAACAATGCAAACAGCTGCCTTGGGGGCTTGGGGCAGGGGGGTGGTGTGGGGGGAGGATGAAGACCAACTTTTCACTGTGTACTCTTGGACTTCTGGATTTTGTACCAAGCACACGTATTACCTATTAAATAAAGGACATACTTTGCTTTCCAACTTCACATTTCCTCCCACTAAAAAAGCCAATGGCTGCAGAAGTAACTATCTCATTTCCACTGAGAAACCAAACTAATAGTGCAAAGTGCTCCAGGCTAGGATTTTAAAAGTTACAGGGTGGTTGGCTCATTCATTCCCCGCTCATGTGCTCCACACTGAACACCTCATCAGCGCCCCCTGTGTGCCAGGCACGATGCTGGCATCTGGGTGGACAAGTCAAGTAAGACATGGTTCCGTGTTTAAAGAACCTCGTCTTGCAGTTGGTGAGAAAGACACATCAACGAGTAGAGCAGAGATCTAGCTCGGAGATAACGCCTCCAGCCCTGCGAATTTCTTCTCTCTCCCCATTTTCAGTGCGGGCCTGTCAGGTGCGAGGAACTGTGCTAGGCAGCACACACGGAGACATGAGTAAGGCTTGGATCTTGCCAGTGGTGGTGGTCAAAGGAGACTTTTAGATACCTCTATCTACATCTGAATGACCCCATTTAAGAACCTGTCAGTTTCTCTCCAAGTTCAAGGATGACTCTAACTCCATCTGGTAAAGCCAAGGATGTCCTAATCCACTTTCCTCTACTGTGGAGACACTGAGTCTCCTCGTTCATTTTATTCACTCGTGTATTTGACTTCTTGCTCACAGACCCCTTCTGGGGCATAAGGCATGTTTCTATGCTGGTGGGGGTGGGTGGAAAGGAGCGTGAAAAGTCCGTTGAGGGACCCTGTTTTTGCAGAATTCACGCAGCTCTAAGGGTTCTCAGCAGGGACTCGAGCCCGACGCCTGGTGCGGAGACAGCGTGCCAAGGAAGGCTCCCGCGGGACACAGGGAAGCTTCCGGGTTCACTTCGAGGCTGGACAGACCATGATGACTAGCTGTACAAGAGCTGGCTGAGAGGGATAGGGAAGCGTGGTTCTAGGCAGAGGACGACCCGGACAGGAAAGCACTGAGAGGGATGTTTAGTACCAAGGCTGGAGCAGCCGTGAGATGGGACCAAGATCACGTCGGGCTTTGTGTGCAGAGCCAAGAGCCTGAGCTCGACCCTGCACAACATGGGGGCCACTGAGGGGCTCATCACACTAAGGTCTGAAACAATTTCAGCGCTAGGTGCTAATCACTGAAATCGAATCCCATTGAGGATCAACTTCAATTGGATGGGATTTTCCATTAGATAAGAGGAGGATGCAATTCAGATCTGAAAATGTTCTACAGGCTTTCTGAAAGATGGACACAATCAAGACAAAGTAGATTTTGTTATTTTCAATATAATCATAGGTTTTTTTTCCTTTCTGTACAAGACACTGAGTATCAATGTAAATAGATCTTATTTGCATAGAAAATAACAAACTTTGTTATTTACATTCATTACCTAAACCCTATAAAGTGGCTTCTATTTTGGTTAGACTTTTGATTACGTTTTTATTTTTTTCTTCAAATTACTAGTTTTAGACTCTGGGATTCATTTCTCTGTACACAATGACCAGAGCTACTATCTAATTTTGAGTTAAACCAATGGAGCTAGACCTTCTGAATTGTAATCCTATTGACACAAGTGGGGTTTTTGTTGTTGTTTTTTGGTCTCTGCTAACTATTCCTAACAACCCCTAACACTGTCTGTTAGGAATCCTGTTGATCCACTGAGTGTCACTCTCTCATATTCATTGACTTGCTGAACACTTACTCTGCTGAGAGAAGACTAAGAGGATAAAAGGTTAGGGCCCTATTTTTTAAGACACCCTGTGTCTGGATTTCGGATCAATAGCCAGTGCAAACAGAGGTTTGTACAAAGCTCTTGTTGGAGCGGAGACTGACAAGGCACTTTCTCTGCCTGAGGGGATGGAGCAGGGCAAGCTAAGAGGTGAGGAGGATGTTACAATGGAAAATGGGGTCACCGTGTCCAAGCTTCTTAGCGGGACCTGCGAGACCCTTCATTATGTGCCCCATGCCTCCCAGATAGCATCATCTGTTGCTTTCTCTGATTACCTAATATAGCTGATGCCTCCTAGATAATCGTTCTTTCTTATAATTCCAAGTATTTACATTAAGTGACAAACAAGAGCAAATACCTACATCAGTGCCGGACATGTTTCTAACCCTTCACGGCAATACTGAGGTCGCTAGCATTACTGTGCCATTTTACGGGTGGGGAAGCTGCCATCTCGACTATAGTTCAGAGAGGTTAAGTAACTTAACCAAGGCTATCAAGCTGGTAAATGACAGAGCTGGGATACGAATGCTTCCCGGAATACCTTCCCCTATGTGGTTAGGTTATCTCCTCCTGGCCCTCATGTCTCTGCGGGCACCTGTTCCACCTCCAGCCACCCGCCTGGCAGACAGGTCTCTCTTCCATGCGCCCGCACCTGTCCTACTGACTCCTTCCTTGCCCCTCTCCCCAGCAGGCTGTTGCGTCCTCAGCAACAGGACTATGTCATCGGCACTGAATTTCCAGTGTCTGCAGCACAGCAGACATTAAGTCAACGTATCTGCATAGATACTGATACTGATTCAAGCCGGAGTATCATGAATATAAGATGATTCAGAACCTAAATACCGCCAAAGAATCTCTCCAGGAAGGAATCTGGTGCAGGGGTGGAACAGACAGAGAGGCAAATACTTATCAATCACAATGTGTTGATAATGCTCAGGGCTGTGGGAGTCACTTTCAGGGATACAAATAACAGGAAGATTAGCCCCTGCTCTCAAAGAGCCTTTAATCTGATGGCGGAGTCAGTGCTAGTCCAGAGCTCGGCTAACAACAAAGCCTCGGGATTAAAGCGGATGGTTTAAAATTCGCTCTACCAGTTGTAGGGTGTGAGAGTTTTATACCTAAGTGATTTCACGTTTTGAAGCTGAAGTGTCTTCCTTTGTAAAACGGAGACCACACTTACCTTCTTGTGACTGTGAGGATTCAATGAAATCATTTATTGAGAGTGATGAGCTCCTGCTTGGTCAAAGTGGCAACTTGTAAACAACCTAAGTCACTAAAATGATTTAAGTATAAACTGAGCATGTTACTTCAGAGAGGGCACTGGGCCAAGTCCTGAGGAGTGGGCACGATTTCTGTGGGTGGGGGAACTGGGGCGAGCACACTTCCATTCCATCCTGAATTACTGCAGTCTAAGTAAGGCCCACGTCTGAAAGATCTTTGCATTTGCAGCGCCTCCTCTGTGTCTAATACAGAACTCATGCTCAGTACATATTGTAAGATGAGAAAAGATACTATTAATCCCAAGCGGGTAGACAAAGGTCAGGGGAAAGATCTGGAACTATGCAATGTGCTCTGAGGGGTGGGAGAAGACTGCTTGTCCACAGCAGAGTCTTCACGTTGAAACGGCAAGCAATGAGGCTTGGCAACCTACGTGCCAAAAATGGGAAGCCCTTGGAAGCCAAACAGGAGGATTCTTGTCCAATAGTATTCCTGGTGGTTCCTGACCTTTCTGAATCACAATCCCTTTTTATAGTTCCATGGAGCTATGGGTTCTTTAAAAAATGAAAATAAACGTAACACTGAACAATAATTCCTATGAATTAAGCTTGAAGACCCTTTGGGGGTTTACTCTCTAGGGACCTATCTATAATCTCTCACTTAAGAAACCTACATTATTATTCAATATGCTAATCCCCCCTCCAAAATTACTTAAGAAGGAGGAAAATAGTGAAAAATCTCAACATAACACATTGAAAAAATGCGTGATGTGTCACATTCTCTTTCTGTGCAAGAAAAGCTCCCCCTGCCAAAAACAACAGAAAAAAAAAAAAAAAAACCCTCAAAACCAAAAATCTTATTTTGGTCCATGAGAATAAAGAGAACTATTTTCTTCCTAATAGTAAGTTAATTATTTCAGGTTACTTTTGGCTACTGGAGGGGGAAAAAAGCTCAGCTACTACCCATACATATTGAATATGGGTATTCAACTTGACGATTCAACTTCACATTTACTGTATCACTTTTCAGGTTACAAAGCACTCAAAATATTAGCTCACTCAGTTCTTAGTAACAGCTACAGGAGCTAAGCATCATTCTCCTTGTGCTGATGTCCAAAGATACGTGTCAGGGGCAGAGCTCAAATAAAACTACTTTTAAAAAGGAAGACTCTCTGGAATATCAGGGCCTAAGTAAGTAGTGTTTCTGATGGTTTAGAAAAAAAAAAACAAGAATACCTTGAGACCAAACTAATGATACGTTTCCTTTACAGATCCCTATTTTTTTTTTTTTTTGATTTATGAAATAATTTTATAAAACGCAGGTTCTAGTACTTGTCTTATAAAAGTAGTAACTTGCTTTGCAAAATTCAGAAAGGACAGAAAAGTGCACACACAAAATCATACCTTCACAAGCCTAAGATAATTATCGTCAAAAATCTGCAGCATACCAGTGTAATTTTTTTACCTATAAATATACAGAGAGTACACACAGTTTTTAAAAAATAAAACTGGGGTCATATTATACATTAGGCTTGATAAACTGCTTTTTTTCCCTTAATAGTTTGGACGTTTTTTTCACGTGATTGACGGGGCTTCTATTTTTCCTGAAGAAGGCAATCCAACAACGTCCGTGGCACCAACAGGGCCGGCTGGGTCTGACTTGTTTGTATTCAGGGAGCTTCTGCTCTGACTGGAGGAGTTAATTTGCCATAATCACTAGTGCTGGTAACAGGACTCAGTGTGGGGTATTTTCCATGTGACTTTAGATAAGCATTAAATTGTCTTCATCTTCCGTAACACATCACAATAACTGGAACAAAAGGCACTCACCTTTGTTTGCTCCTCGGGCACAACCAGTTCCTCCGACTTCCCAAGATGGCTGACATTTCCTAACAAAAGAAAAGACCTTTTTACTCAAAGAGAAGGAAATCTCTTTAAGAAACAAAAATTAAACATTTCACATAATCTACAATTTAAAAAAAAAAAAACTTAAGCCAAATGATTAAAGAATAACTTTATTAAATATTTGTCAGTTTTAAGAAGTGCCCTCAATTACTAACCAAAGAATGTATTACAAACAACTAGTTATGAGGTTTTACATTTGTTTAATAGGGAAAAATTGGCCCCAATTAAACTGACTGAACTAAGGCTTTTTAGATTACTAAAACAAATTAAACTTTTTAAAATGAGAATTTAGGTGATCTTAAAACCTCTCTAAAATGGATAATGAAACTTGCTAAGTTGTAATCTCCCTGGTTTTATTAGTTATATTAAGATAAATTAAGTGAGATTAAAATCTTATTTGATTTATTTACCTTTGACAATGAAGACCGTTTAAGGGTTACACATCCTCAGCCTTGGCGAGTGCGACCTCAATTAGTCAAGTCAGAATGTCTTTAAAAGCTTTGTGCTTATTGCTTCCAGCATGGAGCGAGGTGTTCATTAAGGTACCAAAATTCTCATAAAAAATCCAAAGTTGCACTAGTGAAAAAACGCTCAACAAGATGAAAACTGATCACATCTTTTTCAGAAAATCAGTAGTTATTTTAAAACCAGTTTTTAAACAAGATTTGGTTTTGCGTCGTTTTAACGTGCTACTCACGCAGCTTAACACCATGTGGACTCTTTAAACAGCATTTAAATCTACGGTGAGTATAGAATGGTACATTTAATTTTATACCATTTTTTAAGTCAGTTGTACAACGTTTAGTGTGACCCTTTTATGACAAGCGTTGTTAAATGAACTCTTTCCCTGTTTACAACTATTTATGAAGGCCTTTTTAAATAAGAGAAACATGAAATTGTTAGCTCACACACACGGAATTTCTTTCAAAAGTTTATTTAGTATCAAGCAAGAGGAGACTTTGCTCAACACTACAGAACATTTCAAGACTTGAGTTACAAAAGAATACCACATTATTTGCACTTGTAATTGGCTTCCCTTTTTACGCATGTTGGCAAGAGAAAAAAAACTAGCATATGGCTGAAAGATAAAATAACTAAATTGCTATGGAAACCTTTAAAGTGAAAGGTGAGGCTTATGTTAAAAGGATGGATTAACATATTTAGTAAACCTAGTTTTTTGTTTAACACTAGTTAATCAAAGTTATTTTTTTTCCTTTTGATGACCTATTTTTTCATATACAGACTGGAAATAACAAAATTTTACATGTCTTTTTTTTTTTTTTTTTCTGCCCAGGTTGATGTTTCCACAAAGTAGTTTTAAAGTTCCATCCATTCAGATTTTAAGCATTTTGATTTATTTAAAAAGGGATTGTTCATAGAAAAACATTACTTTGAACAGTACACAGGACTGGTGGAGACTGGCTATTTCACAACACCAGACAGTACAATCAGTATCTGCCGTAGGGCTGGTCTCTGTAGACGCCCTTCGTGGTCCTCGCTGCAGGTGCCTTGTGTCTCGAGTTAGTCCAGTCCTCTTGCCCTGAAATCAGTAAGATGAATCACAATTAGATCATTGCCATGGATCTCACTGGCTTCATTTTTCAGAATCTAATTTAACCCTGAACCAGTGGTGGATGTGGTATTGAAGACATATCCCTGATGTACCAGGAAAAAAAAACAAACAAGGGTATTTACTTAGAGAAAAATTACAGACACAATGGGAAATGGTCACCCCACTAACAAAAACTATCAGTATGGGAAGAAAAATGATTTTTGTATCTTAAATGGCAACCAACTTGCAAGAACTTTCCTCTTGGTCACTCATTTTAACAAAAGCTCACACGCTCAAACAGCAAACTGAACTGCTTTTTGCTAAATGTTAAGACATTTATGAATGGGAAAGAGAATGGTAAGAGGATCGCTCAGATTTCTTTTGACAGCAAAAACAAACACCACACAGATCTGTGCAGGCAAAAGCAGACAAACATAACGAGCAACGTGGGGATGGGCAGGGTGGGAGAGAATCCTGGTCACCGCGTCTCCTAGGTCCTTCCCCAGACAGAGTGAATGGAAGTCGTGTTAAAGCAGACAAACATAACGAGCAACGTGGGGATGGGCAGGGTGGGAGAGAATCCTGGTCACTGCGTCTCCTAGGTCCTTCCCCAGACAGAGTGAATGGAAGTCGTGTTCAGGGGAAATGTAGCCTCAACAATACTTCCTGAATACGAAATAAACTTAATGACAGAATGTCAAATTTCACTCATCATAATACTAAATCCATATCAGACAAGTGTAAGAATAACAAAAGGCCTTCCATCATCCATTCAGATCTCCTGAAATTAAACACCTGTTCCATCTCAGCACTTCCAATGAGTAATCTACAAGTCTCCGACAACAAACAGTTAACATTTCTGCTGCAACCTACAGCAATTTAAAAGCCCTGTGTCCACTAAGACCAATTTAAAAAGGCTGTGAAGGAAAAATACTTAAAATGACCTCTTCTTTTGATATAAACATGCAATCAACGTCATTCCCTCAAGCAAACTTGCATCCATTTAACTAGACAGCATTCAGCAAACCAAGGTATTTCTCTTAAGTGTTTGTTACAAAAAACAAAACTAAAAAATATCCAAGGTGAGGTCATCACAGCTTGGGGCAGGTGATATAACAAAATGCACTTCAAAAGGAACACCGGAAAATGGTTTTTCACTCATGTTCAGAGAAATGTCAGAACATCCATTAACCAGAATCCTGATTCACTTGCACTGGGTACTAGGCATTTATCAGAGCTTTGCAACTGATTGAAGCTTCCTGCTCTCTGATCTCTTTGGCCTCCAGCAAAGGAGCTTCTTACTATCATTATGTTGCCTCCGCCAATTCTTTTTAATTAAACCTGTCCTCCTCCTGCATATGGAGACTTTGGACATGGATTCCCCAGCATCTCTACCAGCTCCCACTGAATTAAGTGGGGTTTAGCTGTCTCCCCGTAAGCCAGAGAGAACCTTACATCCCCTCCCTGGCTCAGTGCTTTTGTAACCTTTATGGAATGACTCCCACTGTAATGTTTTTAAGAGGGTTTGGGATTGGAGATGAATTAAAATATGAAGATGGGGGTGGGACAATCCTTTGAGAGCTGCAGTCTCAACGGCTTCATTTTCCTTCACTGTCGAGAAGCAAAGACACTTCAGAAAGACCTGAGCTATCAAGTGTCTGCAGTCCGGCAAAGGACTCTATAAATGAGAAAATCAGCTCATGGCAATCAACCCAAACAGAAAATCTAAGTTGAGAATGTGAACCTACACAATTTTCTGTGAGTTTTTAGTCCTCTTTAAATATTAAATTTAAATCGTAAAGGAGCTTCTGAAAATAGCTAGATATGCACAGAAGAACTGAAAGGGAAGTTGTTTTTTCAGTCCAAATGTCTTTATGGATTTCTCCTCAATTCCGGTCTTGAAGGTGCTTCTATGACCACGCCCCCTGCTCTATTTCTGGTTCATGCTGGCTAGTTACTCACCGTAGGAATCGTATGTCTCTTCACTGAGTCCATGTCCATAATCATAGTAATCAGCACCACTGCATTGAACAAAAGGCACAAAGAAAAAAAAAAGATGAAAACAGGACAAAATAACTTAACTGTGAGCTTAAAACATATTCAGTGAAGTATTCTAAAACCAAAGATAACCAATCAAGGGCAGGGCTACACACTGAAAGGAAGAATTCCCACCGAGACAGCAGAGATCTAGCACAGAAACTTTAGATCCTGGGAATATCAAAGATTTCCAGCTGCGATATTTAATAAACCTGTCTGTCACTTTAGCCACAGCCATTGGCCAATGAGCAGAGCGTGAGTGTGTCCGTGTGTCCTGCAAGGGCAGGCACCGCGGCCATGGACAGGACAGAGAACCACAGGTCCGTCCAACAGAAGGAAGGCAAGGACGCTCCTTCCTCTTTAGCTCCTGCCTACCAGAGAACCCGACGCCGTGGGATCTGATAACAGGGACTAGACCCAGTGTTCCATTTCGTCAGCACTAGGGTATTACTGTTAGGAAGTCGGTGTGATGACTGTGTCGCGACAGGACAGCAGGGAGGTTCCCCGCCAGCCGGTCACAGCACTCTCGCAATGTCCGTGAGGATGCAGGCTGAGCATCTTTGCAAAGCACAGGCACGTCTCTGTTCTAATGTACGGCATCCTTGAGATAGGGGGGGCCGGAGGGAGCCTGTTACCATGGCCATTCTGCAGATATTGCAAATTTGCATATTTGAACAGGCATAATTTTTTATAGGAACAAACCTATGCAAAATCTAGATTACTAAACCATGGCAGATACAATTAGTTTATGATGCTATTTTGGTATCCAAGGAAGGGCTTCCACTCATCCTCTCAGGCTTTGCGCTTTCCCACTCTACTTAACTTTGTAGGGAAACAACCGTCCTGAATTTGTTATCTTGGATTGTCATGGAAATAAACATTCTCATTATTCCAACCTCATGCAATCAAGTAAGAAGTTCTAATCAAAATGGAAAATGATCCAGCTCAGCTGCTTAACACCTTAGGAAGCTGCAAGATGAATAATAAAATCCATGGTGTAAGTGTTGCTGAGTGCCAACTGCCGAGATCCCACGGAGTCCTCACAGCAGCCCCCTGAGGGAAGTGGAACTGTCATACCCATTTTAGAGGTAAGGATGCTGCGGCAGATCAGAAGGCCAGGACACCAGCCTAAAATCTCACAGAGAACAGACAGGTGACACACTCGTCGGTCAAACCCACACCAGGCTCTCCTCCCATGCTTCCTCTGCCAGGTGAGCGGTACCAGAGACTCATCACTCTGACGGCTGCAGCACAGCACCGCGATGCAAGGAGGAAGTGGTAAGCAAGGGGAGTAGGTTCCTTTTTGCCTCAAGCATGTGTGGGTAGCTCTTCACACCTGCTCCTCCTTCTGCCAAAAGGGTTCTTTCCTCTCCTTCTAAGCTACCTGCTACTCAGTCTGTAGCCAAAACGCTACCTCCTCAGAGAACCTTCCTGATTTCCCAGCATTAGGCTGGCTCCCCAGGCCACTTTCCTTGTCCCCCCGCCCCCCTCCCCCGACTCCCAAGACCTCACTCTACATGGATGGAGTGAGTCCACAGAGGACACACGCTTCCACCACTGGCTGCATCCCATGGCTTCCTGAGAAGGTAATGCCAGAGCAGTTCTGAGCCACCAACCAGGAGGGTGCAGCTGAGGAAGGGGTGCGGAGAAGGGGCGTATAGGGGGCCGGTGGCAGGGGCCTTGCAGGCAGAGCAAACTGCACACGTAAGGCGCGGATGCACGGAACAGCCTGAACAATTTGAGTGTCTACGAGTACCTCCATCACACAGAGTTAATAAGCACTGATAAAATGCCGAGGCCAGAATATTCCTCAGCATAAGATGCTTCCTCCATGTGAAAATATAGGTCATATCTTGTTATCGTGGTTTAATCACATCCTCATTAGTTAATTAAACACAGCATAACATACTGGTTACGATGGGAGCTCTCCGGCATGGAGACAGAACAGAAGCTCTCTGGAATGTGCCGTGTTAAGCTCCATGGCTTTTTAAATGTTGCCCAGGAACAGAACAGTCACTCCTACAGCTGACCTATTATACCAAGTGGCAACGTGCAATTTTTCTAAGGAGGCACATGGAGCTACAGAGTTTTATAAAAAGGTCTTCAGACTGAGAGCTGACACTCCTCGAGGACGTGGGAGAAAGGCAGGCAGTGTGAGAGCAAGGGCACTCTGCTCAGTGAGACCCCCTCACTCACGGAGTCTCCAGGCGCATGATCGCGCTTAACCTCCCTCAAATCACTATCCTTGAAGATGGAGCAGCCGAGGCTCAGGGAGGCTGAGCCACCTGCCCAGAGTCACACAGCTCAGACGGGACAGCACCCACGCTCAAAGCTCAGGATGCCACCATCACCACTATACCAGCGGTGGACTCTGCTCACCGTGGGGCAGCCTTACAGGGGCGTGGTGGGGGGGTGCTCCCTGTTCACTCTGCCCTGCTCTGTCACTTTTCTGGAATGTCTGACTTGCCCCCCCACCCGCCCCGGGGCTTCCAGGATCCCTCCTCGTGCTCAGAAATGTACGGATCCACATGGAACTCACTGCCATGTGATCATGGTTAATTATCACTGCCTTACTTCTCTGTCTGGTCTCAAATTCCCTCTCTCCCTTTCAATAGCCTTAATTTTCTCTCAAGGCAGCAAATTTATCTATGGTGAGAAGGAAACGGGAGGGACCAGCGAAAAAAGGATCAAAGAAACATTCATATTAAAAAACAAAAATCCAGCAACAAGTGATATAAGAAGTAATATTGCTTTCCTACCTCTTAAGGTTTTATAGCTTTAAATATGAGAATTGCCTTTAAAGTAGAATTTTTTTTTTTTTCTTTCATCTTGAGGACAGAAATTCAGAAACTAACCTCTTGATGAAATGTCAGTGTTAAATACTGGTCAAGACACCTGAGTCTGAACTGGGGCCTCCACCTGCCGGGCTCGCTGGGAGAACCGACCCACCAGCTGTCTTCGTGCTCCGTCCATCAAACCACGGGCAGGTCTGACATTCTCGATGGCTCACGCAGAGCATTTGGCCACAAAGTAGTCAAAACAACTTCTCATTTTGTTGAAAATAAATTGGCTAATGTTTCATAGAAACTCAGCACTAAATTAAATGAACCTCAGTCCTCTTTCCAAAGGTCAGAAGTTACAGCATAATGGCTCCTTAGACAAATAAAACCCTGATGTTCTTGAGAATTTTATCTGTTGCACAAAGTGAGTTACGTCTTCATAGGCCTAAAAGAATTTCCTTTACAGAGACAGGTCCCCACTGTGTAACTCGAAGCTGTAAATGGCAGGCACTGAAGCTGACCAACAGAGAGGTCAAACAATTGCTTTTGACCCAACCAAGTCTTTATTAACGGACTGAACAGTAATACACATCAGTATAGACTGGACATTTGTCTGTGAAGTGCCCTAAAACTGTTCAGCATTAAAAAAAAAAAAAAAATCAGGGGTGAAGAATGTTTCCAATGAACAGGAGGATAAGAGGGAGCATAATTTGGTCCAGCAACGGTTTGGTGATAAGACAATCTCGGTTTTGACAAGTGAAAACTTTAAGCTGACATTTGCTATCATTTCACCCAGTTTCTGATTATTTATTGCAAGACTGTCATCGAGCCAGGAAGCCGGGAGCAGCTGAGCCCCATTCTCAGACCTGTCAGTTCCACTGAATTGCTCTGCCAGCACTTCAGCTCGTGCCCCTCAAATGTCTATTAACCAAAGAGGTGTCCTATTTCCCAAGGATAAACTAAAAACCCAACATATGACAAAAGGGAAAAGACACAAAAAATCTTCACTTAGGCATACATTATAATACTAACAATAGGTAAGAAAACACATTAGGCCAAATAGGCCTCAGCTCCATCAAAAGGGATCCAGGGAAGCTGGTCCCTGAACGGAGCAAGAGTGGGCTGCTCGGGCTGGTACTAAGGCGACGTCTGCCCGGACCTTTTATTCCTCCACATTCCACCCCATCTCCGTGGTCGAAGGAAGTACAAGGATGCAGCCTAACTCCTGGCTTTCCTGGAGGTTCTTGGTTCCATCAACCAGAGTCAAGAAATAGACCCCCACACCGAGAGACAACACAGGGGTCAGGGAGCAAACTGCAGCCCTGGGACCAAGTCTACCACTCGCTAGACCTTCTTCTCTCCACTGACAGGCGTCCAAGAGGAGGACAGAAACTCTGAGTCCCTGTATCACCCTGTCCCTGTGGGATCAAGAAGGCAATCCTGACATTTATCTGTCCCCTGCCCTTTCCACCTCTTTAAGACTCTCCACTAATTTCTACTTTAAAGTCACTGAAACCACTCTCATTAGGCCCCTTCCTTGTATTTATGTCAGCTCAGCAAGCTCTAGACCACTAGGTTGCTCTAACCCCCAGGACTCATAAAGTCCTTCCCACTTGCTGCTGTCCATCCTCATCTCCTACCCAACTCCGCAAATCTTTCATTATGCCCCCTGGAATTTATGGCCCAAAATTGGAAAAACCCCTGATATAGTCAGAGTTTCCAGTTTGTTCAGGGCAAAAAAAGTTGTGCTGTCATTCTTTTTGCCAGCCATTCTCTTTGCCTAGAATGCTCTTAGCTCCAGATAACTGCATGACTAACTTCATCTTTCTCAAGGTTTTGCTCAAATGACGCCATCTCAACAAGGTCCACTCAGATTATGATTGCAATCCCCTGCTCTGACAACCCTCATCCACAGTACTCTGCTCTATTTTCTTCTACAGCATTTGTCACTTTCTAACATATTATATATGTATTTATTATACTTACTATTTCCTCTCAGTAGACTGAGAATATATGCTCTACAGGGAGGGACTTGGGGCTGTTTTATTCAATGACATACCTCAAGCTCCTTTAGAACAATACCTAGTACAAGGCAGACACTCAGTAAAATTTGTTAAATACATTGACTTAATTACAACAAAAATTATTGAAAAATTATGGGCCAAGGCAATGCAAGAAGGACAAAGTTTTATTAGTGAATAAAG